TGAGTGATGACTAAGAAATCATTGGACTGTGGTGTTTACAGGCCTAGATGGTGAGATTCCAAAATCCAGGTGACAGAGTACTTCTAGAAACCCGAGGAAAAATCTACCTAAGAACCTGGTGACAAGCCACTCACTGTAACCATGAGATTATAGCAGTTTGCTAATGTTGCTCGTTATACCACTTATGAGAGAAAATAGTGTATGTTTGTGTGTGTTTTCTTTTTTCATTTTCATGGTTACCCTAGCAAAGCAACAATGGCTAGATAGCTACAAATTGGAAATACAAACTCCAGAGCAATGGAGCGGTGAGGTTTTAAGGAGGGGAGGAGGGTGTGCCAGTGCAGGTGCAGGAGGGTCCCAAAGAGGCTGGTGTTGGCTGGGCCCTGCCATCCTGAGGGAGCCCCAGGGGGCAGTGCCCTGCAGTGAGCCTTGATGACAGCAGGTGGCAGCCTCAAGCAGCCCCCATCATGGCGGGTTCTAGTCTGGACTCCTGACCTGTAAGGAAAACTTGTGAACCAGATGCAGCCAAGTGCATTTATCCTCAAAACTCCCACTCACAACACGTTGGTAAATGCACAGGTGTTAAGCTCAAAGACAATTTTTGGTGGCATTCCATCATCAACATTTTTATTGGCTTCAGTGACTATAGAGAAAGCAGACTGTTTCAACTGACGGATGACATAAAGTTGGAAGGAATTGCTAATGGACTGAATATAGGGCACAGAAAGATCTGGGTGGGCAAGGAGGATGAGCCCAAATCAGCAATGAAATTCAACAGGAAACGTAAAGCCCTGAATTAGGTTTGAAAATGTCATGCGACATGCAGGCCAAAGGGAAAATATGGTTTGACAGGAAGAGAAGGGGAGGGGAAAACTGTGAAAATTGGAGGCAATGTAACTTTTCACTAACAAGGAGATGGTTACATAGCTTACGGCTCAGTTATTGTATGGCATACTGTACATCTGCTAAAAAGAGCAAGTTAGAGCTATATATACTGACCAGGAAATATCTCCAAGGGATATTACTGAGAAACTACCACAGGAAAGAATTATGTAAGAATGCAAACTAAAATGATTGTGTGAGTGTGCATATGTGTATAAGTACCTGTGATGGCATAGAAAAGACTGGAAGGAGAGACATAGGGCTGTTCATGCTGATACTTTGGAATAGGGCCAAGAAATGGGACTTCCACTTTTGACTATATATGCTTCTGTATTTACTTTTCAGTGCAAATGTGTTTATATATCAATTCTATTATTACATAATCACATTGGTGACCTTTTAACTGAAAATGAGGAGAGGTGATGAGGCTGTTAGAAAGCTAACTCAAGCTCAGACTACATTAGTATTAATGCTGTGTCAGAACTTGGATCTTTTCTGAGCTATTTAAGGTTCTAAGTGTAAAACAGACGTACTCGAGTCCAGGAGAAAGCAGAATAGGTGCTGGACATTTCAGCCCAGGTATCATGAGTCCATCTGTACTGCCTGCCCCTCTTTAGCCTCATTTCTCTTGCTGTCCCCTTGACTCTGGTGTCCAGCTCTTCTCTCTCACTGGACAACTTTCCCTAAGCCACCGTTTGTTCTGCTTCCCTGTTTCCCTCAGGTCTCTTGGCAGAGAGGCCCTCTCTAAGCACCCAGTAGTAAATAGCGATTGTCATTGCTCCTGCTGGTTTGTTTTTCTCCACTGCACATCTGCAGCATATATAACCTATACAGCTGCATGTATAGTCTACCTCCTTCAACGTGAAGACCGAGGTTTTGCTTTGTCACAGTCCCAGTGCCTAATAGTTGCTGGTATTCAGTTGTACTCAGTAGATATTGGCTGAGTAAATGAGTAATTAGAGCTGTGTAGGAATGGAGTGAGTGGCATCTCACAATTAGGGGTGATCCCCATCAGCACTAGGAAGACGGGGAGTCTCTATGGTACGTCTACAAGCTGCAGGAACAAAATGCACTAGGGGAATTCTAGAAGTCCAGTCAACATTCTTCGTATGATGGCAACATCTGCAATTGTCCTTTGAGCTTGACGTTCTCTACCTGAGCTCACCTCCCTGGTCCATTCCACAGGAGTAGTCCTATCTGGAGGGTTGCAAGAAAAAGTATTTGGTACCATGGATGGAAGGTATTTAGAGAATCTAACTAAGTGAACCAAAGCTTTCTGTAGTACACTGATTTTTTCTGTAATTTCAGAGTGACATACCATCAGCTTTTTGTGCTGTTACACAGGCACTCAGCCATTCCTCTCCGGTCTATGTGGCTAGTCTCTTCTCGCCTGTATTGCACTTATTTCAGGCTTGATGTAAGTTTGCATTTTTTTCAAGCTTCCAGTTTATCAAGCTTTGCTTGAGTCAATCCTATCTGAAATGCCATCCATCATCTTTCCAGCTTGAGATCTATCTAATGGAAAACAGATGACAATAATTTTTTCCTTAACAATTTGCTATGTAGAGGATTTTTGCACAAACTATCTTCTGTGCTTGCCATTAACCTTGGGATGTATTCAGGAAGGAAACTGAAGTCTGGAGAAATGCAGGAGCTGCTGTCTACCCACTGTAGACCCTCTCACACCTTCCCTGCTGGTCTGCAGTTGACCATTAGTCAGTGATAGCAATGACTGGCAACTCAGGCCCAGGCCACCCTGGAGAATACATTTGTCCTCTGAGTTGTCCCTGATCCACTCATAACAATTGTGATCCACCTTTTGACAGTTGCAAATGTATAGAAGAGTTGTTTGAGACCATGATTTCCAATTTATTAATAGGTAAAATTAGCAGTGTCCTAAACTTGCAATGCTCAGGTGTGCCGGAGGCCCCTGGAGGGCTGGACTGCATGAGGCCCCAGGCTTGACACAGCTAACCTGATACAGAGTCCTTTGGTGGAATCTTAAAAAACAAACAGAGCTTTCTCTTTTTAAATTAATGATTTGAAACATATATTCAGAATTACCATTTTCAGAATTCAAACTCTAATTTTTAGGTTTGTGGCCAGATCTCTTTTTAAGTCCTTAAAAGTGGTCAGAAGTCATCTGTAATTATTTGACCCAGTCTTTAAGACCTTGAGAGTAATAATCTTCATGGCTTGTAAGAGCGAACATACCTATTTAAAAACCATGTGCTGTTTTAACAGGCTGTGTGCAGAGCACATTGGGAGGCAGGGACTACTTTTTACCGCTTTTCTATCACCTGGATGAAAGTTGGCTGGTTTTGTATCACCTGGATGAAAGTTGGCTGGTTTTGGTCCTTTAAAATTCATTTAAAAAGTGTGTGGTTTCCCATAGAAATACTCATTATTATTGATATATAAAATGCCTTGAAGGCATTGGACTGAGGAGAGGTCTGGTGCCCTGCTGTCTCGGGGAGAGCGCCCAAGGGACACCCACAAAGGGGCAGCTGACAGTGGGCACCAAGGAGTAAAAAGCAATTTCAAAGACCAGCTTTGATTCCATACAAATACACAGAAGGACAATCTTACAGAAAAGACATCTTATAGGATTTCTCTCACATCTCGGCCAACCTTCACCATGAATATCATTTTAAAGTGTCAGCTCCCATGATTCTAGGAGCCACATTGGTCATGTGAATCCAGTCCTGCATCCTCCAAGCTTCAAACCCAATCTGTACACCACACTGTGCATGTGTGTGTCAAAAACCTGTTGGGGTCAGCATAGTGTTGGGCACAAATCATCTTCTTTCTCCTTTCCTTGACAAGCTTTCCAGTGACAGAAGCTTTTCTATAACTGGGCAGGAGATCCAGATACCGTGGAAACTTACCCCTTTGGTGTCATGATGCTTAAAACATGAAACTCCTTATATAAATTGGCTATAGATGACATTAAAATGTGTTATTCTATTAAAAACTGTAATAAATTTTAGATAACTATTATATGAATTTATATTTTAATATTTTAAATGACATATCAGAAATTACAAAATTATTTTAGTTACAAGCATGTACTTAAAGCTATTATTTATTATTACAAAATATTTTTACAATGCTATTCTTGGCAAAAGAAAAATGTTTACCCTCATTGAAGAATGTTGAGTACAATTTTTTGGAAACCAGGTCAAGCATCATGATAATATTAAGGTTCATTGTGTCCTATAGAACTGCTAAATATTTATCTAAACCATAGTGTCTATTTTTTTTACAATGTCTATTAATTCTATTTTTACTTAAAAAATTGGAAGCTGAAGAGAAAAGCAAAGGAACTTTTGAAGATGAAACTCATTTTTTAATCACCAGAATTTAGAGTCCAGTCTTTCCACCTGTTCTTTAAAAATAGTAACTACCCCGCCCCATTTGGTTTTGTACTGTGACAACAAAGTAATCCCAAGCAACTTCTTTAAATCAGTCTTCCCACCCTTTACCAGTCATGGGAAAGGCAAATGTTGAAAGGGGAGTCAGGGTATCTTGAGCCAGCCTGTAGCTGGTGGCAGTTGGTGATACATTGTCTATGTTTCTCCTGCAAAATTACACCTAAAGTTGTGAAATGAGGCCATTGGCTGTCAAGCCATCACTAAGAACTTCTAGTCTGTTTCATGAGAGAGACGTCATAATGCTTTTGTGGACTACATACCACAGTTAATACAGTGGCCCTGCAAATTATTCATAACTGAGAGGCCACATTTTAAATTCAATGATAGTATTTAATTACACATCATTTACATATCACTATCTGAGCCTTTGAAATAGGAGGAACGTATAATGGTTTTCAGAATGTCTTGTAGATCAAAAGAATATATTTTCAAATGTTCACTTAAAAAAAAAAAGTATGACAGAGTTTGAAGCATTAGAGAACCTTGCCTATCATTAGAGACTAGAACTTCCAAAGTGAATAAAAGAACCAAGATTCTCTATGTTTATCTTTAATTCAGGGGAAAATGACAAAAGGAACCTTAAGAGGAGCAACCCATCCTTCTCAGTGTCCTCTTCAGGACCTGGCATTTCTCTCCTTTCCTCAAAGAAATAGAAACAAATGCTGATATTACCTTGCACCAATAACCCCTACCAGCACAGGGTTTCATTGTAACTAATTTGAGTAAAAGTCAATATAGGCATAGGATCAAGCCTTTGTTTTTTTAGCTGTAGGAGAGAAGAGTGCCCTTAGAGGCATTTGTAGTTCAACATGAGAGCTACAGGAGTTTCAAATGGATGTGTTTCAGATAAAAATCTTGACCTTGGGAAATGCTGGTGACTGGGCCTTGACAACTAAGCACTGGTTGCCTCATTCTTTTCCTGCTATCTTTTATCTAATATCTGGGTAATATTTTAAACTGGTTTTTTTGACTTTCCAGAACAATATCTGATTAGCAAATAACACAATTCAGTGACATTTAGCAGTATGCAAATTCCAGACACTGCAATCATGAACACTGTGAAGACAGTCTTTTCTGTGGGCCTGGAAACAAAGCAGTCCACTGTATTGGGACAAGGCCAGGCATTACATTTCACCAAACGCTGCATGGAGAACCCATCATACATGATGTAGAAGACGTACATGAAGACAGCTTCAAAGACAACCCGGAAGAAGATGCTGCTGGTGTAGGTCCACCACAGTGACCCTTCAATTCGGACCTTCTGGCTTTTGATTTCTTCGATGTTTTTATATTCACTCTTTATCTCTCCCTTAATGAACTTCCTTTTCTTCTCGTGCCTGTGGTAGGCCACATGCATGGCCACCAAGAGGGCCGGTGTGGACACGAAGATTAGCTGAAGGGCCCAGAGCCGGATGTGAGAGATGGGGAAGTAATGATCATAGCACACGTTTTTGCACCCAGGCTGCAGAGTGTTGCAGACAAAGTCAGCCTGTTCATCTCCCCACACTTCCTTTGCAGCTACAACCAGGATCATAATGCGAAAAATGAAGAGGACAGTGAGCCAGATCTTTCCAATACTGGTGGAGTGTTTATTGACACCCCCCAGAATAGTCTGCAAAGTGCTCCAATCCATCCTTTCTGGGTGGTTCGCACTGGAAAAGGCAAAATGAACACAACAGAGGAGTGACTCATCAGGACAGAATCTGGGAGAGTTCTCTGGGTAAGTAAGCACCCTTAAATCTCTTCCTGAGCAAACAGCAACTCTTACCGAACCTCACCCAAAAGGTGAAAACCAAACCAACTTAGTTTGCCATAGGATTAAAAGGATAGTTCCCAAACCACCTTGAACCTGTGCTTATGTGTTCTCCAAAAAGAGCAGCTGATGCTTATTCACCTGAGTAATTAGCCCAATCTTTAGCACATAATAAAAAAGTGCTCCTAACTTAGAGCCATAATTAGTGCTGATTGACCCCTCGGCAGATACTCCCTGGGCACCCGAAGAGCGGCTTTAACCATTCAAGTTGCACTTGCTGTTGACCTCACTGTATCACTGGGACTGAGACTAGTCCTGCCAACCTTGCTGTAAAGGCCAACAGGCCATGTCTCCCTGCAGAGCCATTTTTCTTAAACTATTTCAATGAATTGTCATGGACTTGGGATATAGCAGTGAAATGTTTGTTATCATTGGCAAAGTTGACATTTGAGGCACCACATGTTAAAATTTCACAAAGGGCCTCACTTCCTTTTTCTATATGAAAAAGAGCAGGTTGGAAACTTTTTGTCCGTGGAGAAAAGCCACTACACACATAGATTTTTGCAAATGTTTTGTGTATGGACTGGTGGTCCGCACCATCATGCTGAACTGAAGGCTGTTTAGATAAGTGTTGCAACTGTGCATCTTTATTGTGGGCTATGGTTTTAATTTACAAGTGTTTCTGAAGGGCACATTATGAAAAAATAACAGAATATTTAACTCAGCGATTTCCCAGTGACGCCCTACAGGGGGACGACTCTGTGTTGAATACTGAAGTGCAGAATCAAAGCTCACTGGAGTATGTATATCTTAATGAAAAGGGACTTGAAGACTGTGGATTAATCTGCCATGAGCCAGTGGCCTTCTCTTCACCCCAGGGAATGAACTGTCTTCATTTATTCACAGTTACACCTCATCAGCCCCTCTTCTAACAAGATTCCACTTCCCCACAATCCTGATGAGCAATCTGTTTTCCACCCCTTCTACGCTGGCAGTCAACCCTCCTTTGCTTACTTAAAAGTATAATGCTCTCATGTTGAGCAAGTTGTATCCTGTTTCCCCATGGACTTCCTAAGCAGGCTCATCAGTTAGCCTCATCTCAGGTGGGTCACCAAGGTCTGGTTGAAGCCATTCAATGCCACTTTGGTCGGATCAGGCAGGAGAGATTTAGAGACCAGTCATGGACACAAAAGTCGCATAAGATTCAAATGTACTCCAGAGACATTTAGCCTTACTTAGCTTGAAAAAGACAAACATCACTGGAAAAAACAGTGGTTCAGTAAGGGTTCATCCCTGACCCTTTAAATAAAGACTGTCTGGAGGTCCTCCTAGGTGTGCCCTGCTGAAGGTTCCAGAGTCTAGTCCTGCCTGAGAGCAAAACCAAAATTCATAGTCTAACCAAACTATTTTATGGAATTAGATAGTCCAGTTCTTTACCAGCACTTATTAAGTGGTAACAGGACACATAGAAATAAGTTGTCCATGGTACATCTGGCTAAAAGTTGGGGGGCATGCTGGGGGAGGGGGGTTATGCTTTGTCTTATTCCGAAGTACCAAACATGGACCCCACACTCTTCTATAAACCAGTCCAAGCACCATCAGCTGAGAAAACTACAGTGAGTCCTTATTGCTGCAGCTGCAACTACCTGCTTGTAAATCCTTTCAGGAAAAGGAGCAGAGTAAGATGCAGCCCACAGGTGGGGTAGGGTCATCGGGTGGAGGCAGACTGACCCAGCAGGGTGGGACCATGGGGGACTGCTGTCCTGCCCTTCCTGCCCTGGCTGTGGTGTCACAGGCAGGCTCCTACCTGGCCCACACCACCCTGCCATTGTCTGGAGCTCTGGCAGAGGAGGGCTCTGTTCTTTAGGGAAGGCACAGTTTCCAGAAAAGGACAATTCTTTACCCTTAACTTCTTTTCAGTCCCTCCTTTTCCCTGGCAGACCTGATCAGCTGCCTCCACAGAGCGGCCCACCCGGCCCACCCCTCACAGGTGTCTCATTGTGACTGACTTAGCCCCTGAGTTTTGAAATCCACTCAAAGGGCAAGTAGGGAAATGGCTGTTGCCACACATCTGAGACAGAGTCCGGAGTAAATGGTCCTAGTGTCCAGCTGTCAGAGGCTGGTAGACACGCGCTGATTAGGCTGATATCCCCCTCCCTCCAGGAGCAGAAGGATTTATACAACGGCCCTAAGGAACCTTTCTCAGCACCATGCGACCTTCCAGCTGGAACATGCCACCTGGGAAGGAGGCTGTGCAATTGTCCCGGAAAAACGAACGAGGAAATCGTGCCTCAGGCTTAGGCTGTGGCGTCTGCTCGTGGGACAAGGCGGAGAGTCCTGGCTCCTCTCCGCACACCGGGATTGGAATGCCCACTTTGCAAGAGTCACCTCTTCCAGGCAGGACTCCTGCTTAGCAAACAGAAGCCAGCTTTCCTTCTAAGCAGAGGCTTCTGCCAATTAAACACTCCCGGAGGCTGCAGATTTGACCTTCCCCGAGGGACATTACCAAAGATCATCAATTGAGCTTTGGGCTACGTGTCCCGCGCGCCCCCTCCTCCCTGGCACGCGGTCCTGATCGGTCACCGCACTGGCGTCACCACATCCCCCCCCCGCAATGGCCCCACTCCAATTGCAGAACTTCGGTGGAAGAAATTCCCTATCAACAAACTTTCTCTCAATACCTGCCTGCCGCTCCGGGTCCGCTGTAGCGACCGCCCGGGACAAGGACCACACAGGGGCCTCAGCGCACGCGGGGTCCCCTCCGGGGACCTGATCCGGATCCCTACGGCCCCCACCGTCCAGGGTCCCTACTCCACGCCGGGTCCCCTCCCCCTCCGGGTCCCAGGGCGCCGGTACGCGGGGATCTTCCGCCCCCTGATCTCCCAGTGCCCGGTCTTCCCACGTCCCCATTCCGCGCCCGGTCCTCCTCCCCTCCCCCTGGGCCCCACAGCTCCCGCCTTCCCGGGTTCCCTCACGGGGCCGGTCCCCTCCCCCGCCGGGTCCCACAGCTCCCGCAGTCCCGAGAGGCCGAAAGTGCGGCGCCAGCCTCGGGGCTGTGCCGGGAGCGCGCTGGCGGGGCTGGCTCACCTGCGGCGGAGGAGCGCTCGAGGGCCTCGGGGGCGGCGGGGGAGCTCCCGTGGGTGC